AATCCACCTTAAACAATTCTACCTATGTTCATGGATACTCAAGTGGTGAACTCTGAACTTGTTGATGAAGATGTTCGCAATCAAGACCATTGGTCGTGGCTCAAGACGCATTGATTCTCTCTAGTATACGTAAAGTGCATGGTTCGTGCTACAATATTTGTGCCCTCCCCATAACCGAACCTAGGTATGGTTCGTACTTTGATTCAATTACAAGGAGAACCCATTAAGTTCAAAGCGAATATGAACATCACAAGAATCCTAATAGCATGGTGTTTACATTAGGTATTCAAGAAACTAATTCACATGGATGGTTCTTACTCCATCCATCTATTGCTTAGGAAAACATGAAGATACACATAATCCCAACGACCTCAAGAAGCATGCTTTCAAAGGTAATCAATCAAGGAAAACACACATCAAGGATAGATTAATTTGGTGAATTGGAATTCATCAACAATATCTAGAAATTCATACACTCAAGCATCAAAACAATAAGGTATTCATGTTTAGGGCTTCAACCTAAGCCCTAGCTATGGAGTTTAGTTCCTCATAATCATTTCAAACACAAATTCAAAATGAAATTAGAAAGAGTTTACAGATTTTCAGAAAATGATGAAAGCTTCAAGATCATCAATGGTGGAAGTCTTCTTCTCCACTTTTCTTGGCTGCACCTTGGCTTTCTCTTAGCTCCAACTCTCCCAAAATCTGCTCTCAATGTGTAGACTGATGGAATTCAATTCCTCCCCCACGTTCAATAGCTCATCCAAATCAGATTGCAATTCCCTTTGCCTCCCTCTCTCCTCCTTTCCAGCTTTTACTTTTAGTATTCTAATGCAAAGTCTTCACCCATTGTCTTCTTGTCCCCTTGCAAATGATGAAGCCTTGTCCTCACAAAGATGCCAAATGCTTCAGAAAATATCTCATCTACTAAGGTAAATTCTTGTTACCAAGTGTTATGGTAACAAGAAATTAAGATGACACAAAGGAGGTAAAAGCTGGCCAAATCCGGATTTCCAGAGCTGTGGTAACATGCTGGATTGGTTGGATAGGCAATACTTGTCCAATGGAGCTCAAATTTTGATATGTTGTAGTTAACATCCATTGGAACAAGTCTCATGAAGATCATGACCTCATTCGAGCACCGGAGCATGTTGATCCCAGGCCAAGAAGTTGACCTACGAAAATGAACAAAAACAGAATTTATCACTAATAATGCACTTTTAGCTCATTTTCATTATAACCAAGGTAAAACCTATTAAAACACAAAAAAGAAGTAAAAAGCTATTAAATGGCAAGAACTAACTCAAAATAAGAGGTGAATAACATGAAAAATCATGTGTAAAAATGAACCGAACAATTTACTCATTGCTTTATATTATATTTTATGTATATATTTAGATAAGACTGCTTAGGCCGCGATGGAAGAGCACGATACATCGTTTTGCTTGTTTTTTTTTTGTTGTTTTATATTATATTAAATATCTACCTTTATTAGATAGTACAAAATAGAACCCCAAAAAAATCATTGGACCATGGGTTCACTAAAAATAAGTTTTGTGTACGGAAGCTATCAAGAATTCTGTAGTGAGGGCCTTATATATAGCCTTTAGGTGAGACCTTATTTTTTAACCATTAGATCATGCTAACTAAGTTGATTCAACGGCTAATAAATTTGATCCAACGGTTAAGAGATAGGGCCTTACCTAAGGGCCATATATAAAGCCCTTACTATAGAATGACTTGAGAATCTATGGTCTGAACTTGTATGTGACAACAATGTGTCTGAACTTGTATGTGGATGCATTGTTTCCAACTACCCAAAGTAAATCGATACAAGAGGCCCGAATCACCAATCGAATTGACGCTTTCGATGGAGTACATCCTGTCACTGAAGCCAAACCACCCCATCGAAAAATTGTAGTTCTCAGTTCACCGAAAAGACAGTTCGATGTTAGGTTAATTTCAATTTCTGAACTGATGACAACAAATGAAGAAGAAGACGACATATAGAGAAATGATGATGTTGAATCTACGAATGGAGAAAGAAAAAAAAAATGACGCATGTTAGTCTGGTTGGCCTTGAAAGAAGAAGAGCGAGAGGAAGAGAGAAGAAGAAAAAAGAGAAGGAGAGAGAGGATGCTAGGATAAAATATAAGAATGACTTAGGGTTTTAAGTTTTAACCCTAACATTTACAAAGACTGCGAAGCTAGGAAACTTGTAAGTATGTTCACTATATGTAAAAAGCACAAGAAGGCTGATTAGTGTAGTGGTGTTGCATTTGGAGATAGGTGTTTGATTCCCCTTGGCTTCAAGGCCTCTAGATAAATGTGGACATTGGTGCCAAAAAATCAAGACTGACTATACCGAACTAGTCCAACCAATAATTTACGTATATTTTAGGGTCCTATATTTTATACCAACCGATTCAAATTGTGAAAAGAAACCGAATTGAATAATACTCAAATTGAGGAAAAGCAAACAGAACTTAGTATTATTATTTTTCTCATAAATTAACATTTGACAAAACATGTAATTCTCTTATGCAAATTTAGAATGTTATTAGGTTTATTTTGATGAAGTAGAAATAGAAAATGCGAGTTCATGTAACTCAAGTAGTTAACAACATAGCTATGTTCAATTCTCCCATGTATTGTTTGTATAAATTAATTAATTAATTAAAGAGATTTCAATAAATAAATAAATAAAGAAAAAGAGAGGCTATTTTAAAACCTAAGAACCAAATAAAGGTGTTGGGCTTGAAGAAGACAGTAAAAAATAGGTAAGAGCATCTCCAATCGATGTGTTAAAAGTGCCACATAGACATTTAATAGCTAAAAATAATATCTCACATCACTCCAACTGATGTGTCGAAGTTGATGTGGAATGAAGGCTGGAGGTTGAGATGTTATTTTTGACATCCCAAAAGCAAGATGTCAAATGAATATTTTATTATTTTTTCTTTTCTTTTCTTTTTAATTAAAAATAAATCAACACTAAAATGTAATAAATCAGTAATTTAATTTGACATATCGGGTGGAGTGTAAAGCTGTGTAAGATATCAAATTGCCACATCAGCCATCAAATTTAAATTTGATGTTTGGTATTTGACATCTCCCTTGGAGATGCTCTAAGAAATAGGACTTCTCACCATAGAACGACTCAATTAACCAATACCAAAAAGGAACTGGTCAGTTTGGGCCCAGTAGCACATTGTATTTTATGTCAAACATAAATGAAGAGGGAGAAAAACTTCTATATCACTTACCAATCTCGTTCGGTCGTGTGCAATAACTTTTTTACATGACGGGAGGATAACAAAACTGTGCTATTCCTGTGATATTCAAATCCTTTATATCATGAAGAGGGGTAAAAATTAGAAATTGTCCTTGTATTGTAAATTCTAACTATGATACATCAACATCACTTTGAATTGGCGGTAGGAAAAGGAAAACACATCACCATCAATACGGCTACAGCTCACATGATGATCAAACACACCAACACAAAAACACACCCCCATGACCTCTTTTATTTTTTTTATGGAGGACCACCTTTTGGAATGTTTTACCCACAACGGAGGTAATGGCAAATATTAAAATTGGATCCACTTTTACTTCCATATGGGATGACCTTGGAATGAATGGATTCAAGAGGGCACTAACTCTGCTTTTTTCACTTTTGAAATGCTTTCCATCACCGCAGATGGTGACACGTGTCCTCTAACTGTTACCATCTTTGTCTCTAGGTCGATACTGAATGATGTAACTCCTGGTATAAAAAGAATTATTAAAAAAAAAATTCCCAAAAGTGTTAATCATTTGCTTAATGTAAAAACTACCCCTTAAACCACCACTTAGAGCGCATGCTAATTGCATTTTTATAAAGAATTTTTTGTTATTTTTAGGGAGACTTACTATTATACATAATATAGGAGCCTAAATTATTAAAAAACTAAATGAAATGAATTTTAGAAACACACCAAAAGCTCATTTACAACATAACAAAGAAGCTTCGAACTTCCTATAAATTACAAAGCTGCCATTAATTTTTTAAAACAAACTCAACCTCAAAACCTCATTGAAAAAAAACCTAAAACACTCAATAGGGCATCAAAGTAATCACAATTAAATTCAATAAGGCATGCAGTCATTTTTTGGGTTTTTTCAGGTTTGTTTATAGAAATTAAATGGTGTAGGATTTATCTATATCACTAGTGCTAAAAATAGGTATATAACTAAATATCTCTTATTTTTATCGTATTAGCACATATTAGTAAACCTTTTATAATGCAATTAATGTCAACAAATCCAAGGAAAAAAGAAACACAAGAAAATGAAAGAAGGAAGGAGAAAAAGGCCTTTGAATTAATGTTGACATATTGATGTAAGGCGTACGTACCTTCCATTTTAGAAAGATGTTTCTTCACTTTACCAGCACATCCTTGACAGTGAAGAGAAACTCTCATAACAACCACCTGCAACAACCAACATATATAACACAATGTTGTCCCTTCTCACCATATAACAAGAAGAGCATTTCGAATAGTATTCATATTCATGGTTGGAAAATTTGATGAGCTTGGTAAATAAAAGTAATTAATCTTTACCTGGAAGACATTGTCGTCGGCGGATGAAGGCCGGACTGAATCTGAATGAGAGGACGGTCTTTTTTCGATCGACTTTGAGGACATTGGCTGCTGATGGGTAAGAGGAAGAAGATCATGATGATGATCAGCTCCCACTTGTTTGCTGGTGGACGGCATAATTAATAAGGGCGATATTTTGTCATGATCATGAACATGATGATGAGGAGGAGGAGGAGGAGAAGTGAGGAGCCTGGAGTAGTAGTATTTGTTGCTGTTGAGCAATGATCTTGTGTAGTGTGTGCGATTGAAATTAATATCAAAATTATTATTAAGACTACTAGTAGATGATCTTCTAGGCACCATAACTGAGCGAGCATCGGCTCTACTCATACAAACCGCGGTCGCTGCCGGAGACTGGCACATGAAGCCCCTCATGCTCATCATCTTCTTATCCTTCTTCTCCTTAGTACTAGTAGAACTGTTTTTTATGTTCATAGCTAGCTATCTAGAGAGAGAGAGAGAGAGAGAGAGAGAGAGAGAGAGAGGAGATAAGGTAGTATTGGATAGGCAGGATTAGCTAAGTGGTAAGTTATATATTAAAGCAAATAGTAAAAGGATACAGAACGTATTTGAATGTTTTGTCAAGGTTAGGTTAACCAGCTGGTAAAGGTAAATAACAGTAGAGTGTATATATATATATATATGATGAGTAATGTAAGAAGCATATATATAAAAGTAGATATATATAAATGATATGAGAAAGTACTAAAAGTCTGAAACATGCTGTGTTTATGAGTTAGCTTACAGCAGGAGGGTTCGGCAGGCATCAGTTGCATTGCCAGTTTCATTTCTAGTACACCACTACACTCTGTGTTTTGAATGACTTCAACCATCCTGTCTCTTCTCTATTTAATGGTCCCTTCCCTTCAGAGACATTGCCTATATTCATATTTATCTCATGAAAATGACTCTAGTTGACTCCATCGATCCAATAATACCCCACCTCTCTCTCTCTCTCTCTCTCTCTCTCTCTCTCTCTCTCTCTCTCTCTCTCTATAT